ATTATATAAGTCTTTTGCATTGATGTCAGATAATGCGTTTCTGTAATTAAATATTTTGGATGCAATGGGTTTAGTATAAGTATAAGAAATCCTAGGAACAGTAACAGTTTTGAAGTAAGGAGGGATGTGTATATAATTGTGACATAACAGACCATGCATTTGACTTGCCTGTTCTCAGTCATTCGACATTAATTACTGATCATGGGATAGATAAATTAACTGTCACGTTTTAGTATAATCTCTATCAGTGTCGAGTTGACATAAGCTCTCCGAATTTGGCACAGAGTGTATATGTATATTATATGTACTTATCTTGTAATTAAAAGTGATAAAATGATTAAAAGACATCTAAATGGTTTTCATTGAAAAAATATACATGGTCAAAAACTTGAATTGAAAATCGTGGAACCCAGAGTTATTTGGAACGTTACCAGATGGATCTATGTGCAAATAAAATATTTACCCCCCCCCCCCCCCCTGATTACAACGTTCCAATTTCACTGTCTGTTTCACTAAAATCAAAAAAAGGGGTTTAAATGGAGGTGAGGTAGAGCGGTATTTTGGGGGATGGCCGAATGCTAGTGCGCTGTATCATAAGGTTTGTCATTGAGTCAACTGGTATGGTTTCGATTCCCCGGTTGTACGTGACAAGGAGTAGGTCGCCTGTCCAACCTCATGGGTTTTTCCGGGTGCTCCCGTTTCTTCCCACTTCTAAAGCCCTCAACGCGCAAGCGAATTATTTAAATAAGATTGAACAATGTGTTAGTCCCGAAATGACCTAGTTTGTGTCGAGTGGGGGTTAAACCCATCTCTCTCTCTCTCTCTAGAGCGGTATTTTCATATTGCAGCTTAACAAGGACGGAAAGGAACGGTGAGAGGACTTCGTCGGGGAGATGCCGCCCCGAAAGAAACTAGTCTTCACCAAACAAGGGTTAAACTGTCTTTAGTCCACGTTGATGATACGTTATGCATGTCAGAATAATATAATCTTTACATTAACAATTATTACATTAAAGATACATTATGGGAGATTCGGTAACGAGTTGGCCGTTCTCACTATAATAGTTAAAAACTAGATAATGTAAAGGCAATTTGGTGAAAATTTCATTCAAATTGAACCACTATGAACCGAGAACTAAGCGACTGAAATTCCCATAAGCCTCGGTCATCATTACTAAAGTCAGTACGATAAACAGCATAGTCTCGATTATCCATTTAATCGTTTAATAGAGAAGGAAAGTTATGAAGTAAATCGGCTTACAATCCACTAAAGATCGCAGGCTAGCGCTGCCATCTAGAGTTGATTATGGCCTGGATAGGTTAATTAATGTCTAATTAATAATTTAGATAACATTTGAGGTCTAAAGAAAGACCTGAAATAGACAGATTTAGCTCTTGCATAATGTATGTTTAAAGTAACGGGTAATATTTGGCGAGTGTAGCCCTCGAGTAGAGTAGGCTTAATCTTTCTGTAAAATTGATACTGCCTCAGTATAATTGCCTTCTATTCTTATTTGGGTCAATTGGGGAGCCCTCTAACCAGGAGCTGGGGCTGGCCGAGAATTATCTTTCGGTGTGATTTGCCGTTATTGCAATAGCCTCTATGTCCAAACTGCCAAAACATACACCATTATTGCCTCTTGTCACTGGTGCAAAACGAAGGGCATGCAGGGCCGTAACTAGCTCAGAGCAACGAGGGGGGCGTTCTCGGGGGGTGCTGTAATATTGACGGACAAAGTATTTCTATTTTTTTATGGTCGAACATTTTTTCACAGGGGGGCAAAGCCCCCCCCCCCCCTAGTTACGGGCCTGAGGGCATGGCAAAGAACAGCGTCTAGTCATTCGGGTGGAACTAAAAACCCGTGTACACATTGGTGTTCCCGTTAAAAACACTTGGCAATTGCAATTCGAAATTAGAGTAGCATGTACCGCCGCCGTCTTGACCCAATTTTCTCATATATAAAAATAAATACTCACTTGAATCACGTGAAAGACGTTTCGATTACATCTTTAGATTATAATACATTATATAAACAGTATTAAACATATTGTATCAGATGGATTGCTTACCTACAGAAATGCTGAAACCGCACTAGTAAATAAATACAGTAGAGTTTATCTCAGATACCATTTTTCAAATGTTGTTGATTTGAGACAAATGAAAGCATTTCTGACTTGAGCCCATCACTAATGCCTGCACCTTCTTTTTTTCTTCTGGCAGTGATGTCTTTAGTTGATTGATCTCAATTGATATTTCGGCCTGACCTTAGTATTTCCAGTGATATTCGTGGCGATTCATCAAGGTTGACTAGAGTAACAACAGATTTAAGTTAATCTTGAATAGATGCCAAAAATGTTATCTATTTGTGCCAGGTCAGTACCAAATACTTCGTCCCCCGAGGAACTACCCACATGAACAGTGGTGCAGAACATATTACAAAAATCAATTATTATACATACCAATTGGCATTTATTTCATAATTTGGTTTGATTTATATTAATATGCAAAATATATAAATTAGAATATTGAATAATTATTTTAGTTAATTGTGATGATAGAAGGCGCAGTTCTCTTGCTGGACACTTCACAGGCATTGAAAATAAGCAGGATGAAAAAAACCGCCTAGAAAGTCATAAACTTTATTACAAATAAATTTCAACGGAAGAACCATCCGCCGATGCATACTTTCACCAGGAATGACCCACGTTTCGCATTTCCTTTACACTACATTTAATAATATCGCAGTCCTCTACACGTGATAGTTTTACGCTCAGAGTATCATAGCAAGACGCCCGTGTAAATACTACTCAGGTCGTCTCTCCACTGCGAAATCATTCTACCATGAAATGTAACGTGAGGCTCAGAAAGGGATAAATAATGAAAGAAAAGAAAGTATTTGTCACTTTTCGGTTGAAACGACTCGATAATAAATACTATTTTTCACATTTTGCTTCACAATACTCGATAGAAATGTGATGTAAGTAACTTATTAGCACCTTTCCTCGGTGTGTCGGTGAATATCAGGACAGTTTTGCTCGGGAGCCTCGGCTGGGCCCCTCGACCAAAACTGTCCTGATATTCACCGATACACCTCGGAAAGTGTGCTAATAACAACTACTTACATCCCACTTCTACTCGTTGCCACTGGCAACCTTTGATAAAACTGTCCTGTTTAATTGCAATACATGCTTAAAAGTATCCGTGTATCAGAAATGTACAGAAAGAGTACTGATCATTTCTGATACACGGATACTTTTATACCGTTTTAGATATCTGTCAAGCAATAAGTAGCGGACGTTTAGTCCGACCCAGATCGCAATTGATAACGAGGCTCTAACTAATGTTCATGAAACAACTAGTCAAAATCATAGTAACAAAACAAAATGGGGGGAACTACATGGCAGTTCAAAAACATATACAATGACATTAAATTAACATAACAACATATTACAAAAATCAATTATTATACATACCAATTGGCATCTATTTCATAATTTGGTTTGATTTATATTAATATGCAAAATATATAAATTAGAATATTGAATAATTATTTTAATTAATTGTGATGATAGGAGGCGCAGTTCTCTTGCTGGACACTTCACAGGCATTGAAAATAAGCAGGATGAAAAAAAAACGCCTAGAAAGTCATAAACTTTATCACAAATAAATTTAAACGGAAGAACCATCCGCCGATGCATACTTTCACCAGGAATGACCCACGTTTCGCATTTCCTATACACTACATTTAATAATATCGCAGTCCTCTACGCCATAGACATTGTTTTGACGATGTGGTCTAAACAAACACGTGATTGTTTTACGCTCAGAGTATCATAGCAAGACGCACGTGTGAATACTACTCAGGTCGTCTCTCCACTGCGAAATCATTCTACCATGAAATGTAACGTGAGGCTCAGAAAGGGATAAATAATGAAAGAACTTTTCGGTTGAAACGACTCGATAATAAATACTATTTTTCACATTTTGCTTCACAATACTCGATAGAAATGTGATGTAAGTAACTTATTAGCACCTTTCCTCGGTGTATCGGTGAATATCAGGACAGTTTTGGTCGGGAGCCGCCTCGGCTCCGCCTCGGCTGGGCCCCTCGACCAAAACTGTCCTGATATTCACCGAAAAATCGGAAAGTGTGCTAATAACTACTACATAGCTAAAGATTACGCGATGTTCTCTGACCTATTTATGCGAGACTCCTTCTTTAACTTATACAAAGGTGAATATATATGGAAGCCTATTGTTGCCATTTTATATGCAATTTTATGTGAATCCACTGCTCAGACAGTGTGCTCATTTATGACATCTTTAGTTTACATTAGAAAAGCGACTAAATGAAATGTATTTTAGAGACATTATGCAGGTATACATCCTTGAAATCTGATTTTATTTTTAGATTCAAGTCTGAATATCGAAAGTGCAGTTGTTATGTAAATCCACTGCTAAGGCATACTGATTTCTTATTTCATTAGTTCGTTTTAGAAAACTGATTTTAATGAAATAGAGACATCATGTGAATGAACTGTCCAGATATCTTCATACATAGTGTTGTCGGTTAGTTTTATTATTTGATTTTATAAAATGTGTTATTCTCTATCCTTTCCTGGAATCTTTTTTTTAAATACAAATCTAAAGTGGGCCTATAACAAATCTCGTGTTCTCGTGGTGAGGTTCCTGCATTCTCGCCTCGTGTCCTCGCGTTCTCCCACTCTCGCCCTCAACTTCCTGCCCTATTTCATCACGTTCTCGCACTCCCATACCCTCGCCCTCGACTTCTCAATCCTTTTCCTCGCACTCAGTCACTCTCGTTCTCTCGCCCTCGACTTTTCGCTCCCTAAACTTCACGCTTTTCTCGACTTCTCGTCTTCGATTTCCCGACCTTGGGATTATAAAATGGCCACAATAGACATCCGTATATATACATGTGTTTATATTTAGATATGTCTCACCTGACGCGTCCACATTACTTCGTATCAGTCGATGGAGTAGTTAATTTAATATTGAAGGGATATAAAGTTGAAATCTAACCATGGTGCTCCAGAATATAACATCGTATCTTATTGACACGACAAACGGAACGGCAGCTACATTGGGGATATTCCTCGCTACACTGATTAGTGCAAAAGCAATACTCAACATGTTGTGGAAAGACAACCGGCCTCCCGGTCCACGAGGTGTTCCTTTACTAGGATACCTGCCTTACTTCGGTACTCATCCACACCTGACATTTTTCAAGCTTCGGGAAAAATACGGCGACGTCTTCAGTATCCAGATGGGAAGTTTTCCAGCAGTTGTCATCAGTGGTAAAGAATTGATTAAAGAAGTTTTGGTGACACGAGGTGACGAGTTTTCTGGTAGACCAAACTTTTACACCAGTACTTTGCTAGGAAGCGATTCATTAAGCTTTGGACATTTTGACCATTCTGCTATACTTCACAAAAAAATCACCTACAGCTGCCTACATCTCTTTTCCAATGCTCGAATGAAACAAATAGAGGAAATGATATTTGATGAAGCGAAAATAGCAGTTTCAGAATTCAGTAATCAGAATGGGAAACCATTCTTTCCGGGCGAAATACTGTTTGCTAGTGTAGGAAGCTTTATTTATCAAGCATGCTACGGGACTCACACTAATATTCGCGAAGAAGGTACTTTCCACTCTTTTTTAGAAAATTCCAGAGAGTTTGCGAATTTTGCGGGATCCGGAAATCCGGTTAATGTGATGCCTTGGTTGAGATTTGTTATGCCTGGGAAGGTTTCGACATATCTTCGGTTGAGAAATAAGACGAAAGCCGTCAGGAATACAAAGCTAACGGACTCTTTAAAGTCTTTTTCCCCTTCCCATGTGCGACATCTTGCAGATGGCTTCACTGCAGCTGCAAAAGAGGCCGATGAAGATCCCAACTCTGTTTTAACGTCCAAAAGAATTTTTCAAACGCTCGATGATTTAACTGGAGCTGGGTTTGATACAGTATCAGTAACTTTGAACTGGGCAGTACTACTCCTAACAGCCCATCCAGAGGTCCAAAGAAAGGTTCACGCTGAGATTGACGATGTTCTAGGTAACCGCCAGCCTAGGCTAGAAGACAAAACAAAGATGCCGTACTGCATGGCCACTATATCTGAGATATCGCGGTTCGCCGATATTGCGCCACTTTCAGTACCACATGCAACGACCATAGATACCCAACTGAACGGCTACAAAATTGCTAAAGGAACTGCTGTCCTTCTCAACGTGTATACAATAAGTCATGATAAAGATCTCTGGGGTGACCCATTTAATTTTCGACCGGAACGTTATCTTGATCAAGCGGGAAGATTAGATCAAAATATTGCCGGCAATTTTAATCCATTCTCCTGGGGGAGACGAAAATGTGTGGGCGAGAATTTTGCCAGAATGGAACTATTTTTATTTATAACTGGAATATTTCAGAACTGTGTATTCACCAAACCAGCTCACATTGAGGAATATTCTATGGATAGTATATTTGGGCTAACTGTTTTACCAGTTCCTTATGAGGTCTGCGCTTCTTTGAGGTATTAAATAATTTATAGAACAGGTTTTGTACTGCATCTAAATTCGGTTAACGCACTTAAATATGTTCAAGCTCTATCAAAATTATATCACAATTATAAAGTTATTAGCAAACATTCTTAATAAAAAGAAATGTGTGATGTATCGATAGTAACTGTGCGATGTTCGTCAAAAACTGTACAACTAAGTATTCCATTTGTATTATGGTGGAATTTGTTTTCAATCTGTAGACATTTGTATAGCATCTACACAAATTTCAGTAAACTCTGTTATAGGAAATGAAAATATAAAAACTTCTCGAATTACATTAAGAGGCGACTAAATTAATAAATATTTCTACTTGAACAGCTTGCATATCAATACCCGAGCGTTGTGTGTTGTGACTTATTGGGTCAACAGTTTATTGGGTCCAGAAAATCAACATCTTTATATGACGGTTGTTAACTGGAGATAAGATAGTGATAATATGTAATTCATGTCAATATATAATCTTTACATTGTACAACCATATAAATAACGGGTAATATTTGGTAGGTATAGCACCCGAGCAAAATATGCTTACGCGTTATGTTAACACTGCTTCACTGTAAGTGTAGATATTTTTGTTGTTCATGATAATTGTTTTAAATTTAACATACCAATATAGCAAGTCTCTTTGATCATTCATCGTTATCTCACAACTTGCCCACAGTTTTAGTATGTTACATTATTTTACATGATATAGTATACGTGTATCACGTGTGGTACAAAATGTATCAAATAATACCTACTGGATGGTAACTTAAAGATACATAATGGGAGATTAGATACAGAGCTGGCAATTCTCACTATAATAGTTAAAAACTAGATAATGTAAAGGGAATTTGCTGAAAACTTCAGTCAGATTGATCCCCTCTGAACTGAGAATTTAGCGATTGAATTTTCGGCCCAGCATCGATCATCATTACTAAAGTCGGTACAATAAATTATAGTCTCGATTATCCAATTCATGATTAAATCATGAATGAAAGTTGAGCAGAAAATCGGATCCTAATACAGTAAATATCGCAGGCTAGCGATGACATCGATAGTTGATCATGGTCTGGATAAGTTAATTAATGTCTAATTAATAATTGAGATAACCTTTCAGGCCTAAAGAAAGACCTGCAATGGACAGATTTAGCTCTTGCATAATGTATGTTTAACCTACAGCTATTAGATGGTTTAAATGGTTTTGCAACTAGATCTTTTTTCAAAGGGTTAATGTTGTAAATTTATCTATAATACCCTTAACATGTTTAATATAATCCCAAATTAACTTCTGAATTGATGATAATGTTTGGTTAATATACAAAGGGAGACATATGGTCAGTATTCTTACTACGCCAGTCCATAATAAACGTTTAAACCTTCATCAGCGTATATAATTTATTTTGAGTTGATATTTCGTATTAGTAATAATTTGCATGTATGATTCTTCGTTATTACGGTTACTATTTTCATATTTGACATGCTATATTGAGAATTATACATCACATGATATATGTAATTTCATCCATAGTTATGCACATACGTTCAATATCGAACGTCGTACACAATATGTTATATTAATTCGAACAATGCCACACATAAGATACAGATTTGTGTTCTTTTACTAAAAGACATTAAATATGTTTCTAATCGTAATATCGTAATTATAATGTATTATGTATTTCGAATCGTAATTATAATAACCTGTATTTCGATTTAATATTGTCAGCATATTGTTTAAAAAAAATGTATTTGTTATATAATTCTTACTATCCCAGTCTCCAATAAACGTTTGAACCTTCATCAGAGTATATAATATATATGTATTTGGAACTCTATATTATTTTTTGGACCCCAGAATATACTGTAAGAGCGTTAAAGATGATTCATAAACTAATATGGTTCTTGTGTGTTTGCGTTGTGGGGTGTTTTGTGTCGTGTTTGCAGTAAGCAAGGGGGTTAACGTCCACTCGACACAAACTAGGTTATTTCGGAACTAACATATGGTTCAATTTTATTTCAATAATTCGCATGTACGTAGAAGAAGAAACCGGAGGACCGGGAGGACCCGGATAAAATCCACAAGGTTGGACAGGCGACCCCACCCGTTGTCACGTACAAGTGGGAAATCGAAACCACGCCTCTTGACAGACCTTATAATCTAAAGAGCAGCTTTAAACCTCTCGGCGACCCCTCCTCCCTGCCCTTTAAGACTCAAAGAAAAGCGACAAGTAGTCTACTATATATGCCGATGCGAAAACCTTCGATCCAGCCGTTTTATCGTCTACCTTTATCAATGCGGCACGACATATCTCAATTATGCAAAAATGAAGAGGTTTCATTGTAGAGTAAAACAAACCACACTTTGTGAACATTGGCGTCCATGTAACAAGTTACTCCACAGTTGGAATACGCCGCAGTTCAGGCCATGTTCGCCTCGCGCGCATTGCACAGGTAACAATAGAAGACATTGCCACGTATTAGTCACAAAATCACCGAAGCAGTCACTTGAATAAACTTTAAACCGCATTCTATTCATGCATATAATAATCTTGAAATGATAGGCAACTGTACGTTTTATTTAGTATCTTTCAGAATTAATGTAAGGATTTGTGACCTTTTATTCTACCTCATATTCATACTGAAGATTAACCCCCTCATCTACTGTAATTATCTTTCAGAAGCTGTTGTAAAATTAATCTAAGGATTTGTGACTTTTATTCAACCTTACATACCTTTCTCGATTAACCTCCAGTATACCACATTATCTTTCAGAAGCTATTGTAGAATTATTGAAAGAGTTTGTGATTTATTCTACCTTATATTCCTATTCTAAATTAACACCATGCTACCTCATTATTTTTCAGAAGCTATTGTAGAATTTATTGTAACGATTTGTAACCTTCATTCTACTTAATAGTCATTCAGAAGTTATAGTAGATTAACCCCCAAGCTACCTTGTTATCTTCAGAAGCTATTATAGAATTGTAGATCTGTAACCTCCATTCTACATAATAATCACTGTAGATTAACATCCGCTACCTTATTATCTTCAGAAGCTTTTATAGAATTGTAGATCTGTAACATAATAATCACTGTTGATTAACATCCAAGCTACCTTATTATCTTTCAGAAGTTATTGTAGAATTGTAGATCTATAACCTTCATTCTAATAATAATCTTTCAGAAGTTATCAACATCCAAGCTACTTTATAATCTTTCAGAAGTTATTAACATCCAAGCTACCTTATAATCTTTCAGAAGTTATTAACATCCAAAGTACCTTAACATCCAAGCTACCTTTATAATCTTTCTGAACTTATCGTATAATTTGGCCTCAGTCTACCTATTAATATTTCCGGAATTATCGCAGATTAACTTCCAAGCCAAGCTACCTTATAATCATTCCCAGGTTATTGTAGAATTCATGTAAAGATTGTTGGCCTAACTTATACTCTTTCAAAACTTATTGTCGAATAACCGTCAATCTACCAATAATATATTTCAGAAGTTATTGTAGAATTGATGCAAGGCTATTATGACCTGCAATCTACCTTATATTTTAATCACACCTATACATCATCTGTCACCTTCAGATCCTACCAACACCAAGAGGTTCATGTAGTAAGTAGATAGAAAACAATATAAACCATTGGCTCCAAATTGACCATATATGCCCATCGGTCAATTTAAGCGGCGTAAACTAGGTTACTTTTCAAATCCATATTCTAAAGAATTTTTCGGTTTCATTACTGGCTGTGGGATGATTGAATAAGGTTTTGACCATCGATTCTCTTTCACTTAATTGTTACATACAGGAGACTCGACACACGTGATGCTTTCTCTTTTAAATATTCCGGGCACCGCTTTACACCATTTTGATTATAAATCAATTGTTTTTCATTCCGTTTTATTTTTTAAATTTCGCCGGCCTGATATGACATCTCTCACAGCGACAGTACCACCACTACTACTACTACTACTACTACTACTACTGCTGCTACTACTTTACATTACTACTACTACTACCACTACTTTAAATTACTACTACTACTACTACTACTACGGTTCCACCAAGGGCAATGTTTCAAGAGAATAGGAAAGGGTAGGGGGAGGGTTATATTTACGGGTAAGGATAGGAACTAGGCATTGTAATGCATTAAAATGCTTAACAGAAATGGCACTGCAAGTTTGGTTGACCGGGTATATTCCTTATGTCTGTAATTTAATCCAAACATCAACTTTTCTGAATACATTTAACTATTGTGCTATAATATACCAAAAAACAAACTCTCTCATAACATGGTGTCGTTATTTATATTTCAGACTGGTGGTGCACGGATAAATCCTAGTCTCTTTCAACCAGTTACAGATCCAGCAATACTGAATATAATACCACCAGTCGCCCATGCAAAGGTTTAATACAAATATTTATATTTTGTTTTGTTGTGTTTATGCATCGTTTTTATGTTCTGTACTGTCTTGTATTCATGCTACCAGTAGGTAATCTTATACCCCAGTATTTCCTCAAAAGTGCAGCAAGGGAAAAGGGGCCCGTGAAAAGAAAAAAGAGTCAAATAGAATTCAGTATGAAATTGTTGATATTCAGGCAATGAATTTCCGTAGCGGTTACAGACCACATTAATAGGAATTACGATTATCTCGTTATAGGTTGATTGATATACCACATTTGTCATCAGACTGGTTGCTAAGACGTTAGTATAGGAAATCCGATGCAGTTGAGCTTGGTGGTTTTTAAAAATGTCCCCAATGGATCCACATATGAAAGCATATTGGGAACCCCTGTCTTTGATCCCCTTGATTTTCCTTACATTTTCGGAAAATTTGCAACCATGCAGACCGTTCTACAGTATTTTGTTGTGACATTATTTAAGGTTCGACAAATTCACCTTCCCGATGCTGGAATTACAGATTATGGAGTCATGTCTGTTTATGGACTTCATGCCAGCCGAATGGCACCATTGGAAGTTTTTATAAATGGATCGCCTCTAAGAATAGCAAGATGGCCAAATGAGGTAGTTTATATTTTACCCATATCAGTTTCTAATGAAAAGCTCTATCACTATACAAGGTGTCAGTTGAATATCATTCATTTATGAATTAGTGACATACTGTTGGGTATAATTTTGCCCCGATTGTCATTGTTGCCAACAAAATTATTTTCCATTCTCAGTTTTATATTAATATTGTTGGTGTTCCTGATGGCCAATCTGGACTCCGGTTTCAACATAATTCAACACGCGATATCCATTGGATGAACGAGAAGGAGCCCTGGGTCTATGGATTTTGGTAAGAATTTTATATGCACACAAATATAATCTTTGATATGTATTATATATATTGAAATCTGTTATTTTGAACACCTTAAAGGCCAATACCATCGTCCTCAGTTTTGACAGATTCTAGATAACATTTTAATATAGATATATCTTTGTGATTGTTGTTCCGTAACGATGGTTTAACGATTCTGGAGATAACGCAAAGGAGAAAAACAGAGAGGTAACAACTACACATCCGAATGTCAGATCATTGATAATTTATGTGACTACGACGAGTTGCTATATTGGATTGTGAGATGATGTCAGTTGAAACCAGCTATTCATAAAAATAATTGGTTGCCACGAGACCAGAAAGCGCGAGAAAAAGAAAACAATAAACAGTCTACATTTTAAGTACCAAATCCATTTACTTCTACCCGTCTTTTGAAATGTTCTATAGATGAGGAAACGGGGTATGCTTTCCCATTGAAAAGTTTATATATCTACCAAACGGCTGCTGCACGATCTCTTTTATTCCAGGTATTGGAGTTGGGCAGATGCATCAGCTGAAGTAGTTAAAATAGATCCCAGTAACCACATGATAACATTAACAAATAAAACTTACTATGGTCTTAGAAAAGGTATGTAATTATCAACCGCTTTTCTGGTTGTTATTCGAAATATAAATCCTAAGGTCTGAGCTCGCACATTTTATTTCGAATAGTTGCTATGTGGATATAGTTTGGAGTTGTGTCTATGTAAGCTTCTTGAACTTACGACCAGTTGTGACTTGATCGGGATGCTGGCTCTAATGTTAATGACTGTATTGTTGTTCATATGTAGTTTTACTAAAAACTCGACAACTCGTCTTCATCTTTTGCTAGACTAACATATCAAATTTATTTTGATGCCAGGTCATCTTCAAACTGATAACAGAGATATAGGATTTGATAAACAGGGAGGTTACTTTCGTGTCCTTAATATGCTTTCTGAACTGGACCAACCGGTAAACTCTTACTTTTATTTCATAAAGTTTTCAATTTATTGAATAGCTAAGTACACGTTCAGCATTCTAGAAAGAATTAGTATATATTGATTCGTATCTGCGACTTCGCGTCGCCATGGTCTTCAAGACCCACCAAACCGATCTCCTAGGTCTTATAGGAGACAACATGAATGTCGGCTTTTGGCACAGTCAAAACCACTACACCACTACACATTGTGGCTACACAATTAGATAGGGTAGGTTTACGCGCTAACCCCGCTCACCTCATACGTCCCTTTTTGTTTCTAGAGAGTAAAGCCGTCCTTTCTAAAGAGAGAGAGAGAGAGGGAGGGAGAGGGTTTAACGTCCTTATTGTCAGTATCTACGATTGTTCTTGATTTAAACTTTCTTGCTTATTTTCCATTATGCAAATGCATATTAGAATTTAAAGGTTGTAGATATATTTTAGGGAGAATTTTACATTGATAGATCAACTGGATTTCTCTATCTCTGGCCAAATACACCAACTGGTACTCTACAGCCATCTGATGTTATATACGCTTCTATTTTAGAAAACTGCATCACGTAGGTATACTGTGAGAATTATGTACTTCATTTTATTTAGTAAAATTATTTACTCGGTGTATGGAGTGTAAAGTGTAAACTAATTTGGCAGGGGGGCTATCAGTGTTAGCTAATTTCATGCAGTTGTATTGAGGTGTTATGTTGATATGGTTTCATGTACAATGCAAAGCGTGGGAATGGATTTTAACTGTTAAAAGCATTTTTATCCGATTTCGTTTGGACCATAAGGTGAATGTTCTAGCAATAAGAGAAACATCACACTCCTATTAAACTCTAGATCGACAAAATAAACCCCTTTCCGGCTCTTGTGCTTTTGAATTGCAACTATTATCTCAGATTGCAAAATGGCGTAAGTGACATGCATTTTGAAGATTTTAGAATTGCAATTATCTTTACAGATTGCAAGATGGCGTAAGTAACATGAACTTTGAAGATTTTACAGTTGAAAGCTGTCGTGCATTCGGATTTTCCGCAACAAGTTCACATAATGTAACTTTCAGTAATCTAGAAGTTAAAAACACAGGTACGTTAGTCACCCCATCAACTGTTTTCAAATTTTAAACTATGTAGCTTTCTATGTAGATATATGGAAGAAAAGTTATTTATTTATTTAAAGCGATGTTTCAACGAGGGTTCTTTATCCAGAAAATAGTGCAGTTTCTTGCTTAATAAAGACGAGATAATTACGTACTTATTTATTTCAAGCGACGTTTCGACGAGGGTTCTTCATCCAGCAAATAGTGCAATTACGTGCTTGATAAAGACGAGATAATTACGTACGTTTAATCTGATTAACCCCCAAAGTCCCCTCTCCATCACAATGGGCAGGACTAAACCAGAACGGCTCTCCTTTAGCCAGGTTGGCTTGGTATATGTTGCAATGTTTAGTTTATCCAGAATGAGTTAATATAAGTAATAATGTTTATTTTATTCAGGATGGGTTGATATAAGTAATGATGTTTATTTTATTCAGGATGGGTTGGTATAAATTGTCTTTTTTATCCAGGTTAGGTTAAGTTTTTTTTTCTACTTCAGGTTGGGTTGGTATAAGTTGTCGCGGAGATTGTAGAAATGTTACTGTATCTAAATGCGATGTACACGACTGTGATGGCGGTGTAAGCATTGAAGGTAAATCTTTCAATACATAACATCAATTTGTATAAAATGGGGGTTGTGGTAGTCTGGCACTACCTAGGTAGTTCTAGGTTTCGTATCCTTCATGTGTTCTCGTGTGTGCCTTGGTTTTTCAGATTGTTTATATTGTGCATATTGTACATATTAGCGTTCACGTGAAATAACCCTTTGAGTTGGACAATCCTCTCCTCGCAATGCATATGGAACTACAGAAATGGAAATTACTTGTTAGTCACTAAATGAAATCCGGCAACATACCTGATTTTTGTATTTCGATTTCTCTTTATTATGGGCCTCGCGTAAAGAGGCCCTTAACTTTTATTTGGCTGTAATCCGCTTTGTAAAATCACCTTCTTACTCTTAAAAAATGATTTTTTAATGTAGATTTCAGTTTAGATGTTAAATATCCTCGTCTCAGTTTGATGTTTGTTCGTAATTCTCGAACTAAACAGTCCTCACAAAATTTGAGCTTTTACAATAAATAAGGTGTCGAAATATTACCGTATGAATGCAGTCCTCACAAATTTGAGCTTTTACAATAAATACGGGATCGATATATTATCCTTTGAATGAAAATAGCAGTATCTTACAGTTTATAATATACCCCTTGATCGTATATTATGTGCTCTAATATTTCAACCTTACTTTCGGAAATTCATGCAACCGGTCCACACCCCAATGTTTTATTTTTTCTTACCAGGTGGTGATCGACCTAATCTAATACCATCTGGTAATTTGGTTGAAGATAACCATATATGGAAAGTAGGTCGTGTAAGTGTAACCGGTGCTATGGGTGTCAGCCAAGCAGGCGTCCATAATATCATCAGATATAACCATATTCACAACACTACGTACGCATGTATTTTTTGGGGCGTAAGTATATTCAACATTCTGACATTTGTATGTTTATATTCTAAGGTCCCCAAACACAAGGCAGTAATTAGTTTCACTAGATACAGTCCGCCCATTTTGCTACAGATCACCTAATCAGCATATCCTGTCTCGTGTACGATGCCCACTGCAGCTTGTAGCTATGAGGCCAAAATAAAGCCAATGCATGATTATAGTACATAAGGATCAAAGTATGAAAATGTCTAAAATATTGTAAACCGTCACCCTTTTCATTGGAAATAAAAATTGGAATTTGCAGTCTCAAACTAGCCAGACATTAAATACCACCATGTCTTTATCCCATGATCTTTACCTTTCATCAGATTGAACGATCATTTAGGTACATAGAACTTTATGACCTCTGCTAGTTTTGATAATATATGATATTGACGTTTCACCTCTGTATAAACTTCTGTTAAGGCACGGACTGCCTACGATCTTATTAAACATCTAACTAATTCAATATGTCCCTTACAAGCTACACATGATATGTGTTTAACACTCAACAGAAATTGAAAGAGAATGTAGTAGTGGTCAGTGTATCATACTATTACCTGACAATGCCATCCAAAGAAATATGAAGTGTAATTACAGACACCATAATTTTATAAATAAACAATACCATATATGGTGATCACTCTTGTCCATTTTCCCTAATTTATGAATGCTATATTATAAGCAGGCGTTTACTGACAGTAAGTCAGACTTGGAATAGAGCTTCTCCCGATTTATGTCTATTTCATGTTCTTAATAAAGGTCTTATCAATTATGCTGATCTTCTGTTATCCCTAGTGTTACAATTGTTATATTTACAGGGCAATGATCATATAATGGAATACAATTATTTTCAAGATTGTAATCAAAATGCCAGTGATGGTGGTGCTGTACATTGTGATCGAGATTGGACAATGGTAAAGCAAGTTGTAACATTTGATTTGAATAACTTATCTGGAGCACTGACAGCAAAAGATTCCAATTTGTTCTCTATAGCCCCTGCATAAAATTGTTACATCACCCGTGGGCATCTTTGTCACAAATCTTTTCCAAAGAAAAACATTTGACTCAGATTACTGTCAACGATCGATTGTAATTTGGCAACAGATTCAGTGTATCAAAAACATGCTAATCAGTTTATAGCTCTCAAGTCGTATATTTATAGAACATGTTCGGGATTGGCATCTAGTATTAAATTATTGTTTTGTTTATTGTTTCAGAGAGGTAATACCATTCGATATAATTATTTCCACAACACACTCAGATATTGGCCTGGTGCTCAAGTTCGTGGTATTATGTTGGATGATGAGTTCTCTAGTGTTGCTATAGAAAACAATGTTTTCTCTTCGGTAATGTATACACAACTTTTAAACAATATTTCCGAAGATGGGGTACAGTATATCCCCAGGGTGGAAGGGTGGGTGAATAATTAGAAATTTAAACCTTACAAATGTCTCCAGACAAACCATGCTCTTTTAGGCAGTGTAGGCTCGCCCTCTGTTTAACCTAAATAGAGTTATCTCCCCCGCATCATTCCCCGCAAAGCCCATTTAACGCTCTTGCATAAATGTCACTTTTACGGGGACATGACGACAGACTACACCCCAAAACAGCCAAGCTCCTTCCGGTAACAAATGTATAACCCTGTTTGAGATTGAAATGGCCATTTATTACAAATAAATGACAAAAGGACTATTACATATATAATAATAATAATCTAATAACAACATATTATGGTACAAACTTAAAACACTAATATGTAATGAGGTATATTGACATTGCTTAATTACATAAATATCAGGCTTCCCAAAGATGGGGTACAGTATATCCCGCCATAGATTGGGAGCGGCGCTAAGGTGAGATTAACTAACCTGCAGTGACGGGACCAATCCCCCACTCAGTGATGCATATCACCTTTTTTTGTGATCGGTATAATTTATACGACGATTTAAATGTAGAAATATAATTCCTTCCCAGTAAAATACACAAGAACGTATACAACACGCTTTTTTTCTTTTCATGGGCTATATGAGAAATTATAAACTGGTAAATCCTTTGATCTTTGGGGTATACTCTATGCCCGAAATAACTTGCGGTTTGACAGTCGGGGGTCGGCTTTGGATATATATAGTAGAATTTGGGGTTAGTCTTCTGAAAGTTTTTGTTTAAACCTGTAACGGTTTATTCTTCCAGGGTAGGTATTTTTCCATAGGGAAACATGATATAAGGGTTTTCTTACGGGAATTCTGGAATATTCTCATTTTGCGTACATGTAAAAATAGAGGGTTAATAAGCAAGATAAAGTCCTCGACAAAACAAAAAAAAAAAGCATAACACCAGTTTCGTGCTTTATCCTACACGTATTAACAAGTTATGTATACGAGGACGTTTTGAACATATATCTCTTCGGTATTGTATACGGTACTTGCAGTGTAATTTTAAAGCTAACCTTTATACCACACCCCCCCCCCCCACACACACACACACATAACACCAGTTTAGTGCTTTATCCTACACGTATTAACAAGTTATGCATACGAGGACGTTTTGAACATATATCTCTTCGGTAATGTATACGATACTTGCAGAGTAATTTTAAAGCTAACCTTTATACCATAACAAGACTGTTCGGCGACTGTGGGTATATTGAAAGAACACATTTAAGTTAAGGTTAAGCTAAAGATAAAATTAGTCATAACCACCCGGCCGATAAAATAATATTTTTGATATTTATATCGGGAATGTTCCAATAAATTAGATTGTATGACAAAGGATCGATGAGATACAGATTACAACCTGCTGTAAAATTATCGTTTAAGCAGCTGAATCTCTTTGATTATATTTCAAAATAAAATTGAATTGGCCTGACCCCATTCTTGGTTATTTTGAGTATTCATGAGGCAAGCTGCATGCTATTAAATTTTCGTTTTGGTAGATTTGGCTTAAGTTGCTTTGCATTGTATTATTGTTTGTGTGTGGTGTGCACCCCCCCCCCCTCCCCGCCCTCTGCGCTTTCTATAAACGGTCAAATTGAATGGACAATCTTTAATGTTCTGTATATACGTATACGGTTCGGTTTTTCTAGTTACTTCCCTTACATGCAATACAATAACCATGAACTGATCACATATTAATAGTTGAATAAGATCATTATAGAATCTTTTTCTTTTTTTAAATTTAGAATGAAGTCCATGCTAATATAGGAGGTGGTCGTGATAATATTATAAGATATAATATATTATATAATGCTACTGGTGACGGGTTAGCTGTTGACGGTAGAGGTCTACAAGGAAAGAATTTAGATCAACTTGAAGCAAATTTAAATGTAAGCACTGGATAACGTCTCAATTAGTGTTACCGTTTTTCGTCCGGTTTCTTTGAATAACGAACAACGAATCACAAGCCAACTTCTTTGGATGGCTCTGTGAATATGCATTGTCTCGGTACTGTGATGGTCTTGCCTCCCATAAGCGGTGGTGTCTCTGCAAGAATCAGTCGTCTACAAAATTTTCGTACTACATCAGTTTATCAGAGAATTTATGGACTGCCACGTGGATAAAGTTTGTAATTGTATAATACCTGACTTTGAGTGAAGAACCACCACGTGGCGATGTGACCACAGAACTAGCTCGCTAACCGCTGTGCAGTTTCTTTCCTATTTCACAATTTCTATGGCTTTAATCTAGTTGTTCGGGTGGGACGAAAAACCGATGTCCCGTATACGCATAGGCGTGGGCGTAAAAGATCCCTTGGTAGTTGGAATTTGATATAAAAGTAGACCGCAGCGCTGGTCTCCGGGCAACATTTCCCTTATACCACACTGTATGGTGTATACCCGTCTTCATTAGCCAGGCGGAGTAGAACAGTAGGGCGTTAAACCCCATTTCATTTCCTTTCATTTCTATGGCTTTATTTGACTTAGATGTTATGTCTTGCAAACCCAGTAAACAATAACATAGTATTTCAGTGACTGTTGTCATGCGCGAGATCAGTGTGACAGAGGCCATATGAAAGCCTTCCTTTAACTCTGTACAAAATGACCTACCTTTAATACTTTATGCACCCATTTACACTAAATAGGAAATAATTCATATACATATTATATATTCCCAATACCGTTATTTTTTTTTCTTAATATTAAAAAAATAAAAATGTTTTAGAATTTGATTTGAGGAAAGAAAAAAGAGTTAATATTGAGGACTAATTCACTCGCCCGATGTCATCCCTACTGATCAATTTGGCTCGAGACATCTAACCATTTCATGAACACCTGGTATCACTTTGTTCTCGTTTATCAAGCCATGCCCTTGCCTAATTCATCGCTTGGATTTTTGTGTATCGACTGACGGTATTTGATAGTGATATTTATCTTTTGATAAGAATTGGTTTATTCTAGGAAAGGAACGAATAGTAATAATGTGCAATGTGTCATAATATAAAATATTAGTGAATTGGATACAGTAAAAAAGCAAAAAGAATTCATGTTTGTGTTATAGATTTTCTTCATTCACATTTGTATATTTAAATTAAAACTTAATTCTATATTTCCGTTTACAGCGAATGCCATATACTGATGCATTATGGTCTTCAAGATATCCTTTACTGGCAGCAATGGCTAAGAATAATAAAACTCATGGGGCCCCTGAAGGTAATATTATTACAGTTGTATATTGTATTAAATGAGCAGTCTTCTTACCAATAACCATTGGTCATAAAATTATTCAAATTGATTAATAGCCATTATACGAAGTTAACGTTAGTTTGTAGTCAATTCATATTTAAGCTTCTGAACTGTATTTTATTTGAATCCACTAACATCGAGGACATGTCATTATCTAACTTACATTATATGTTTTAATCTTCTGAAGTACTATTGATTAATAGAATAAGGAAGTTAGCGTTAGTTTGTATTCACTTTAAGCCGCAATATTTAAGATTATGAATTGTATTTTATTTGAATCCACTAACATCGAGGACATGTCATTATCTAATCTACATTATATGTTTTAATCTTCTGAGGTACTATTTTAAATAATTAGTTAGATGGTTTATTCAAAAATATTACCCTTTCTTTATTAGGGATATTTTGGAAAAAACGCAAAGATACGATAAACAGATAACATCGTATCTTCAAATTTACTTGGAGCCGCGGTGGCTGAGTGAGTAAGACGTTGGCTCTCTAACCTGTAGGTCTCGTGTTCGATAAAGGTGTTGACCGAGAAAGTTTCCCTCATAGCACACTACTGTATGACGTATGCCTTTCTTCATTCACTCAGTCGGTGCAGAACAGTAGGGCGTTCCCGATTCCATTCCATTTCAACTGTACTATTTCGCGTGTTCACTTTCGACTGTTCACAATTTCGGATACTTTTATATCCAGGAAACCAAATCTACAATAACATTTACTATACAGCCAATATCACTGGATTCTTAAATTATAATGGTGCTGTAAACTTAACACAGTATTATAATGTCACTAACAATAAACAGGTGAGTGTGCATACTTCCAATTGTATTTTGCAAGGTGGTGGGGGGGGGGGAGGTACGGTGGCCCAGAGCCTAAGACGTTGTCTTTCTAGCCTGGAGGGCCCTGCATTGGCTGGTGAAGTTCGTCTGGATTTTTCCCTCATAGCACACTGTATGGCGTATGCCCGTCTTCATTAGCCCAGGTTAGGAGCAGAACAGTAGGACGTTAAACCCCATTTCATTTCATTTCATTTTTTCGTCTGGATTTTACGGCATGGTTCCCCCCTACCTTGTGAGTGGTGTAGAATCGTTCGGGTGGGACGAAAAACCGAGGTCCCTTGTACATATTGCCGTGCTCGTAAAAGAAGCCGTGACAGTTGGAAATAGATATAAGAGTAAGCCATATCGCCGCTGCCAGGACAAAGTTATCCTCATAACACACTGTATGGCGTATACCCGTCTTCATTAGCCAAGTCGGGGCAGAATAGTAGGACGTTAAACCCCATTTCCCTTTGTCATAGTCATTAATTGTAATTCAAAAATTCTTTAATACAGATAGTGAATTAGATATTCTAACAATTTAAGCTCCGGAATTATGTATATCTCTTCTCGGGATATACAAAGTCGTCGTTTTGGTTTCCATCAATTTGAAAAAAATCGAGTTTTCAAACGATGCATTTGAGAAATGTGGAGCAATTAATAAGTTATAGATGACTATAATATAATACATTTGAACTATACGCAACGATTGATCTTAATTTGTTGTAGGAAGTATTTTTTTAAAGAAAAAAAATGGCACTTTAAAAGTGTTTCATTTCATTGAATTCTGTTTTCAGGCTTTGCAGAAATCTGATTTTGCTGACCCCGATGATAATAATTTTCAATTACAAGGAGATATTAAATCTTGGGCTGATCGAAACCAATTTGAGGAACCAGTCCGCTTTAACAAAGTTGGTCCCAGGTCTAAACCAGGACCCTCATATTTACGTAAATAAAAAATGACCACAGATATGTGGAAACTACATACATGCTTTACGTTTCAATAACAATGTTTTAAAGATGCATTATCTTAGATTTAGATAAAGAGCTTGCCATTGTTGAAGTTTTAACAAGATGTGGCATATATTGTTTATTATCGTAGCTTAGCTTTGATTCGCCATTTTAAATTAAATCATTAAATGGCGACCGTGTTATATTCCGTTTAAATCTCTGCCATCCGATGATATAGAGGGTCAATTATAGGCTTACCATGGGAAAAAATGTCCTCTCACAGTCTCACATAACAACTTTTGGTCTTAGTGAGCAGAAATTCGCCCGTGTTTCTGTTATCACTCGTCACTTCAGTCAGAAGTGAGATAACTTCTTAGACCTATTTCCCCGTCAATAGACAGTAACAACATGCTGTCAATTATTTTTTAGGCAATGATTTTTTTAAAAGAGCTCTTAAAAGTGAAAATGCAATACTTCCACTTATCATTTTCCATATATGTTAACTGTCTAGTCTAGGAAATTCTTGTACTTAAAATCAGTTCATATATGTCTAACCTACAATCCAGATAAACGGGCTTGATCCATAGAGGGCATATTGAATTTTTTTAAATTTTTGATCAGGAAACTGTGATGAGGCAGATTGAACCACTGTCAATGGGGTACTTTGAACCATGGTTATTATAGACTATAATATATATCATTTGATAATTTGTTCAGCCTAGGAAATTCTTGTACTTACAATCAGTTCATATCTACAATCCAGATAATGGCTTGATCCATTTTGAATTTTTTAAAATTTTGATCATAAAACTGTGATGTAGCAGATTGAATTGAACCACTGTCAATGAGGTACGTTGAACCACTGGTTCAATGTACCCCAGTGCATTATAGTTTATATATCAATTAATAATTTGTAATATCTTTGAAAATAGAAACAATATTAGAAGATCAATTGGCCCAACTCTGTAGGCCTGTCATATAAAAGGAATTAAAACTTCATGGGAGCAGTGTTCGAAACTTGGCTGTGACATACAGGGGCGCAATGGATCTCCCTGACTAAGAGTCGCTTGTTAGCAAATCAGGCTGTCCAAATTTAGACAGAATATTGGACAAATTTTGGTTTGATTCACTGCAAAAGTTGACTGGGATCCCACTATCACACCAAATTGCCAACTTAAGTGCAATTTACGGCGATTTGTAGGAGCCTAGGGAATCCGGACTTCTGCTTGTTTTGATCGTTGCACGGATGTCTGATCTGTGGATATTTGTTCTTAACTAAACATTGATTGTTTGCAGATTCATTAGATCACTACGAAACAAGTGACTAGGTTTGTGATCCAAATTCAGATCTATGTTTAACATGGAAGTTTTACCACTGTTCAATGTGCCCCATTATGTGGTTAAAGCTGCTCCGACCGACTATTTTGTACTGCGGGGTACATTGAACAATTAAGGTCAAGTGGATTAAAATGTGATATACAATAGCAACTATGATATGTCTTCAAACACTACAATAAAGAAAAGAGATCTTCTAATAAAAACGTTTGATATGGAAGGAGGACAACCATGTATGTAAAAAACTGGTTCAATGTGCCCCGGTCTCCCCTACATTTGATAAAGATCATATAAATATATTACACTGTAAGCCTCTGATGGTAGGGAGCCACGGTGGCCAAGTGGGTAAGGCGCTGGCTCGCTAGCCTGGAGGAAGCGGCTGTCTAGTCGTTCGGATGGGACGAAAAACCGAGGTCCCGTGTCTGGCATGTACGTAAAAGATCACTTGGGCCTTGATGTCAACTAGTTCCATCTCCATCATTATGCAATGAACTACTGTGTACGATCATTCAAAATAAAAATAGGGTTTCAACAAAACATTAGGCCTAAGATGTCTTAAATTGCCTAACAATCAATACCTTTCTAACAGATTAAGAATTTCATTCTGGGACAATATTCTGAGGGCCTTACGGCGAGTTTTCTGTTCTAGAAATACTGCCATGCTGGTGTCTTTCGGCCATTTTGTCAAAAGACCATGTGACACCAGACCCAGGAATTATATTGGTGAAAGTGGACATAGAACTTTGTGAGGGGGAATGGATTGAAATTTAAACAAAGGCCTATGTGTTTTTTGGCGCCTCTGAATTAAATCTTGCTCACAGTACATAGCACCTGTTGATTCAAAGATAGTTTTTATGCAAATATCTCATTTTTAGTGAAAAGTGGACACAGAACCAGTTAATCCTCAGCCCACGCAGTTCTATCACATATGTGATAATCATGACACCAATATTGTCCTTTAATATCGGTATAGTGGTGGCAGAGTTGAGCAGTATTGCACTGGACTTTCGATTAGAATATCCCGGCTTCGAATTCGGATGTGGGCCTAGAAGAAGTCCAGTCCTCGCGTGTCATGTGTGGTGCCTGTGAGGCTGACAAGAAATGTCTATCTTGTTGCTGGGATGGGACGTAAATCCGAGATCCGACCGTGTACACATTGGTCTGAACGCAAAAGAACCTTTGCAGATGAAATTCAAGAATAGGCGGAAACGACGCAATCAGGACAAAAACCATTGAAACAGAAACCATATTTGTTTAAAGCATAAGTCTTATGTTGACGAAAACATAAGAACCTTGTTCTTTTCCATTCAATGTAATTTCCGTAATGTGTCGGCTCAGTTAATTACAACAGTTAATGAATTGTCTGTCCGTACCTGGCAATTAAAATACAAGTTAAGAAACAACATACCCTGGTCGAGCGGACGTGACCCCCCCTCCCGTCTCTCTCTCTCTCTCTCTCTCTCTCTCTCTCTCAAGGCCCTGTTTCTCGAAGTCTTAGCTAAAGATATTATCCAAATTTTAGTAGATACTTCAATTTTGATTGGCTAAACACTAAACTTAATCTAATATTATCCAATCAAATTACTAAAATTTGGATTTTATCTTAGCTAAATTTTCGTGAAACAGGCCCCTGGTTCATTTGAACCTCTACGGCGTTAAGCTACGCGAAAATTATAATAAGCGTTAAACTTGACAAGTCTCTTGACAACCACCGGAACAATAGCTATTTTCTTATGTACCAGAAGAGTCATCCGAGTCAACAAGTTTTTTTTTATCAATGAAATGATATAACTTCTTTGGCTATAATCTATAAATATATTTTTTTACCTTATTAATCAATCTCATTTTAAAGGGATACTTCCGCGAACTCGATACTTTTCAGTATTATAATAATAAACGGCTGATATTTCCCATTTCACGGTGTGGGGGTGGGGTAGTTATTTATTTGTTTTTTTCCTTTAAAAAGATGCATTTTGTACAAATATCTAACTTTTAATTGAAGGCTTTGAAATTTAATGAATGTGCGTATATCATTATTTTTTAAATGGTGTATCAAGCGATTAAGATATGCTACAGTATGTAATGAATTAACTATCCCGATGTTGCCAATCACAACAAATAACTTACCAATGTGTCGTAAATATTAAATATGGAAGGCAAGAATGATGTACGAGTTTTCGTTCAATTTGTGAGTCACGGTGGCCCAATGAGTAAGACGTTGGCTCGTTAAACCAGATTGCCGAGAAAGTTCATCTGGATTTTCCGGTGTGGTTCCCCCTTTTCAGTGGTGCAGGACTGGAGGTCTGGCAAGGAACAGTGTATAGTCATGCGGATGGGAAGGAAAAAGAAATCCCATGTACAAATTGGTGTGCACGTAAAGAAACCGTTGACCATTGGGATTCGATATAAGAGTAGACCGTAGAACTGCTGTCCAAGCAAAATTGACCTCCTAGCACAATGTGTGCCGTATGCCGGGCTTTATTAATCCAGATGGAGCAGAAAAGTAGGGCGTTAAAACCCATTTCATTTTAATTTGTGAAGTTGAAAGGTATAGACAAAAATTACGACTTCAAAAACGTGGAAGCGCTATTTTCAGTAGCCTTACACACTAAAGTTCGCATATTTGAATCCTAAGTCCTGACAGTAATTATACAGTGCTGAATGATACCCCCCTCCCCCCTCCAAATTCCGCTACTTTCACGAGATGGTCGGGGGCGATGACGACAAAACTAAGCAGGTCGAGGATGATGACAGTGCGTGTAAGAAAGACTAATGTCAGTTTATAAAATACTGTACATCTTTGTCGGCAGTGTAATTATACCTGCAACGTTTTAAGTGTTAAAAATTACAGCAATGATATCATCCCAAGAAAGGTTTTTCCGCTTAAAACATAACATACACACCGACTAAGTGACAACATAATTATATTGTGACAACATAATTATATTGTGGCAACATAATTATATTGTGACAACACAATTATATTTTATTGATTGACTTAACACACTATTAAACATTTTACAAATTCCGCTGGCAGCCATCTCTCCAAAAAACCTTTATGTAAAGTTCTGAATTTTTAGCTTTACAACACAGTTTCAAAACACAATCGGAGGCTATAATTCCCCGTGTCTTTCGTTCTAACATACAATCAGTAGTTTGTTTTATGTATGTACAAAGGGAGATAACAACACTAACACAAAAATGACAGGAAGTGAATCAATTCGTCTTAACGTCTGCTGCCAAGGCAAAAGTCTAGTAAACCAGTTTCTGAAAGAAATTTAAAAAAATAATATTAGCAATTATGAATTAAGTATTGGAAAAAACTCTTTTAGCGGAACACACGCGTGGTATCATTTTATGCTTATAGACTCCATCAACTACTGGCTATTATTTGAGTTATATCAGGAAAGTCTATACAATGGTTCCTAAACTAAAATGGTCCCTAAACCCAATAACTGGCTTATTAATATAGTGTTTTAATTTTATCTGGCTATGTGAAAAATGGGCGTTGGGATATTTCTGTAGATTGGCGTTCCGCCAAGAATTCCAAATGACTAGGGATATTGTACTTAACACAAACTGTGAGATTTTAAAACCAGCATACTGTAAATCAGTAAATAGCTCGCAAGCAGGGCTCCTTGTTTTTTTTTTTAAATTATTAACATCAATATTATGAAATACCTTTAAGGGATAGATATGTAATAAATTCATCCAACATCTGATCTCCAACACCAGATGCTGCGGGCCTTGAGTGTACTGGAAGTGGATCTATTTTGTTGTCGTAAACAGATCTTTTTAACATCTTTGCTGTATCAGAAAAAAAAACCATAATTTAATATTTCGAAATGAGATTAATTGTAATGTACACATTGTCATTTTTTTATATCAGCCAATATGTATATGACGCTATTGACATTCATGTGTCACACATATCTTGGAAAAGATACACAAAAACTATCCATGAGCATTCAGTAGGTGTGAATGTGATGTGAACTATTATTGCCATAGCGACCCACGCACATCGAACCAATTTGCATGGTGTCAAATGAATGCCAGAGTGTGGGTCCATGCATGTATACCAAGTTTCTTCCACTTAAAGGACAATATTGGTGCCAGTCATTATCACATATGTAATAGAACTGGTTAAACACGTTCCAAATATTATTTTATCACAGAGATCATTAACCAGTTCTATCACATATGTGATAATGCCTGGCACCAATAGTGTCCTTTAAGGCTAATCATTTAGCGCCGTGACCTTAAAATCTGTACGGCCGAAAGTTCGGTCTATTTGGCCGATTTGGGCTGGAAAGCAGCATAGCTCACAAAAAGACTACGGTTTATTGCAGTGCAGCCACAACATATTATGTCAGTCCATTTCGGTATTTGTCTACATTTTTTCCGGTTTGCTCAGGTTTATCTAGATTCACCACTGTTAGTCACGGTAGCACTACAGTTGTCTTAAACAGTAGCTGTCTATGATTCAACACAGTAGCTCCCCATGGTTCAACCAAGTTCGCCCCGGATCATCCCGGTTTCACTACGGTCTCGCCACAGGTCCTCACGGCTGGTCCCGATTGCTCACCGTAATTTCGCCAGAAACATATACGGGAAAGATGGGAGTGGCGCTTCGGATCTGTCTTGTGTCAAATTTCAGTAAAATAAAACATCGATCCAGTAGATCGAAATCTGTTTTTTTTAAAAACGCTTACAATATTTTGCGAAACGGAGAATGACACCACGAAAAATAAGAGTCTCGGTGGATACTTTAGATTTTTTTATTACTGGTTTAACCAAACAAGTATGTGATTCATGTTTTTTTGACAAGGTTGGTTTCTATGACAGGACCAATTTAACTGCTGATATAGAGACGATCAAGTCTGAATTTCGATAACTGTCCCCATCTTATGAATAGCCAAATAAATGATGCTAATATAATTTTTGAAAAATAGGCTTAAAATAATGACCTGTTGGACCGCTGGAAGGAATTATAGCGGGATGAACTGATGGACATGGGTGACGGCAATATATGATAAGCTTGATAAAAATATACCATAAACGGTTGAGTCTTGGCACGACATTATTACCAGTATTTGTCGTGTATTATAACACCCTCGTGGGTTTTCTCCGGGACCTCCGGTTTCCTCCCACTGCTAAAGACCCCTACGCGCAAGCGAATTATTGAAATAAAATTAAACCATATGCTAGTCCCGAAATGACCTAGTTTGTGTCGAGTGGACGTTAAACCCCATTTCTCTCTCTCGTATTATAACACCGATATCTAAGTTTTAAAACCCAGCGTCAATGCCCACAATGCTATTGAATTTATTAATAATCATACAGCTTTGAAATAATACAATTTCCAATTGTTACAGGCCGAATATCTATTTAAAATGTGTACTGCAATTTATCACATCATCGAGTGCGCTTGTCTTCTGGGTTCAATTGGTCCATTCTTGTTATTTGGTTCTTGACAACATGCCCAAACAAATTTTAATACGTGTATTCCTATAGATCGGTAGCTTTAATACAACTGCCACTGGCGCTTAGCGAAAAGTTGACACTTGTTGAACACGGGTTTGGAAATTTATTAATAACTTTGTTAACTTGGCCGAGTGGCGCTTTACGATATCCGGCAATGATACGTCCACCCATGCTTTGGTGTCATTATGGAAGCCAACAGTGTACACAGCACTTAAAGCTATCGATATCAAAATATTGACAACATTTTCTGACGTTTTACGCAAGACTTCAATTCCCGTTCTGTGTGTCTTACATTATACCAAGAGGCGTATGCATCGATCTTGTTATGGACCAAGACTAGTAATTCTCTTCATATTAACTTAAACATACATTATGCAAAAGCTAAATCTGCCTATTACAGGTCTTTCTTTAGGCCTGAAATGTTTTTTAAATTATTAATTGAACATTAATTAACTCATCCAGGTTATAATCAACTCTAGATGGCATCGAATTTCTCCGATATTAAATAGATTAGAGCAGTTCAGCCATATTTTGATTTAAGCTAAAAATGGTGGAGCGAGACTTAGCTTCGAACAACCAGTACGGTGGTTGAAATTATTGCACACGTCTTGTCAAACCTTCAAAGGCTAATATCTTCGCTCGTAATAGAGTAATTTGAATTAATTTTTCAAATTATTCATTTTACATTATCTATTTTCGAACTATTTTAGCAAGAATGGCAAGCTATCTAAATCTTACATAATGTATCTTGAAATGTTAATTTCATAACATTTCATGGCATATAACATTTTTGGAACATTCTGGTGGTCTAAATCTTTATAACCACAAAAAGCCCAACATGACACAATCATCTGATAAAAATGTTGAACTCGTGGATGTTTTACTACGCCTATAGGAGTCTATAAGCAGTCGCCATCTGTGTTTACTTCCCCATCGTTCCTAACAATGGGAAGTATTCGTTAAACTCTGTCAGAAAATGTAAATTCAAAACTCTTCTTCGATTCTAGATCAAAAGGTCAAGAAAAATTGCCATGTACAAATAGGTAAATGGGAGAAAGAAAGAATTGTTATAAATAAATAAAACTGCATTCTATCATGAAATCGGGGGAAATAATTGCTAGTCTTAAACCTCTTACAGCTTAACAAGTTGTGGACTTTCTATTTCAAAAGAAATGTAATATTGTAAGCGTTTACTTGGCGTACGTAATTTATGGTCGCATTATTTATAATTAACTTTAAATTACTCTTTAATTATACACAGGACGTATTTGGCTTCTAAACGACAACGTAGTACTGATAATAACATTCGTAATTCTTGATATAATGGTAGTCATAATAAAATGATGATGATGATGATAGTTGGATTAAATAAAATTGAAAGAAATCTCTACTGGGTATATATTTATAATAAAAAATAAAATTAAAGAGAGAAAATGAATAAATATTCTATATATCGTCGGTGGGGAGTCAAAAGGTCGTATCTGGCATATTTTGCGAAATTCACTTTTTTGCTTCTTTAGAATGAAGATTTTCTTGCGCATCTTTTCATCTAGTTGTCGTATTTCTAGGCCAATAAAAAGAGGTTTTATAGATATTGTTTCAAAATGTCGTATATGGGGTGTTCCAAAAAAAAAAAAAAAATATTAAGAGTGAAAATGTCGTATTTTTTTTAAAAAAATCAACTTTGTGTCTAACCAAAGTATTACAATCAAACGAAATGTAGCCAGTATTGTTTTTATAGTTAAATATGTATTATAGAAATTATTGTTGAGCGTCTACTGTGTGAATTCTATGAAATTGAAGCAGGTAAAGGTGAATATTTTCCTGAGATACGTCTTTGCTGTATAAAATTGCAAATAACTAGCTTTCACTCTTTATTTCTGCACTAAATGTTGAGCTTGATACGTATGGATAGTTACATATTGTTTTAATGGCTACACATACACTTTGTACAGAAATATTTAAGAAAAGCTTCAGATATACGACATTTTACATACGACATTTTGACGTGACGGTTTTATTAGACATTTTGATTCTTAACCTCTGTGTGTTTTTTGGCTCTCCTGACAATTTCGCAAAATCCAGATACGACCCTTTGACTCCCTACCGACGATATATTACTTAGAGTGACGCAGAGAGACCACACAATTCTTATAATTAATTTCTGATAAACATTCAGTTTTTACTCGCTAGTGGTGTTTGTTATACCCCTGTCAGGCCAGGGTGGCGTCCTTACTGCGACGCTACGGCGATGGAAAAAGGTCGCAGAGCGCGTCAAAATCGCCATAAGCGTGGTAAAAGCATCGTGGAAACGCCAGATATCGTGCTGTGGTCTCCATGGTCGCCAATGATCGTCGAGTCACGGCGTTTGTTTAGAGAATGTTGAGAACAAACGCCAAGGTTCTGCGATCTCACCTGGAAAGCTGTAAGAACGCGACTTTTTTTCAAGTTTGTAATTTTATGGGAAATTTTGTCGCGTTGTGTTTACGTTTACTGGCGACCTTGTGCATTTTCTAGTCCCTGTACGGTCGCAGCAGCGCAGTAAGGACGCCAACCCGGTCTGACGGGGGCATTAACAGTCATGCATTAAAATATAATTATTTTGCCATGTTTTGATTGGCTAGATCTGTTTGTTAAGGCCACCTGCAGATTTCGTCAAGGTCGCTGAGATGTAAATAAGGTTTAGAGCAGGTGATTTTTGACGGGGTTGTGGGTTAGGGTTTGGATAAGGGTTAGGGCTAGGTCTAGGGTTAAGATTGCGGTTAGCCTTAAGAAATAGATCTAACTGAATTGATTGGGGATTTGTTTTGAATAACCTTCCGGTGCGGGCTCAATCAAGTAGGAAAGTTGTGTCTCTTTGTCTCTCACATCACTGCAGACTTTGTCTAGCTTTCCAAATAGGATAGAGAGATGTTTGGGCGACACGATAATTCTAAGAATCGAAATTAACCTGTCTCCAACCATGTCTAAATCAGCCAAAAATTAACAGATCTATGCCATAGGTTTGAAGAGCAAAATAGAAGGACAACTTACCTTTATATAACTATGGTACGTCAATGTAGCAGATTATGAAAAATAGAAAAATATCATAACGATATACATAATAATAATAATCATTACAATCGTTGCAAAGAAACTAGCTAGAGGGATGTTATATGGCGCATCTGTTCTGTTCCTCGTGTACTGAGGTCAAATTTTAATGTATTTTAAACTTGTATCGTAGTTCGCCGTTAACACATTAAAATAGGTTACCAAGCAAAGTAAAATACGTCGAACACAAGTTTAGTTGACTCTGCAGTGAATCTGATTAAAACACATATTATCCGATT